CAATCATTATGACTGAAATGTAATATTTCTTCAACAAATGCTGATGAAACTTAACTGAAGGCAAGTCAAATAAACCCAATAAAGTAAAAATATAATTCTAATAAAAAACTCAAAATCACTCACCTCTGACTGTTATTTGAAGAGGATCACAAGAAGCTGTTGCTTTGAATGGTTCAATCTCTACTCTGAAGAAGTATGTGTCTGTGTATGTGGTGATTAAATTAGAAAACAGAGTGGTGCAGTCTCTCTGACTCAGGTTCCCAGTAATACTCATTGGATAGATGTTAACTGCTGCACTACTGTTGAAGATCACATTGTTTTGATTACCGTCAAATTGGGATTGATTTTTAATCCACACTCCAATAATTTTTCTTGTGCTGATAAATTTCTGTTCTTCTTTGGGTCTGAAGCTACATGGGATTTGCAAACAAGATCCACTCAGTGCTTCCAGCTTCTTTGATGCATTTATGAAGACTGCTGCTTCATCAGGACAATTAGCCAAAGCACCTGTAAACACAGTGTCACAACTAACCTATTAATTAAACTGTTAGCAGTCGGACGTACCGCCCACGGGACATTGGATGGTTTAGGGGACTAATAGGACTGCTAAGGGGTTAATTAATTTTATTACAAACATTAACTTGTCTTATTTTAATTTGTCCTCCATAGGACTTAAGATGTAAACTTTAATCAAAGTACTCCTAAAATTAAATAATTGTTTATGTAAAATTAAATTTATAATAGATCATCCAGAAGTGACAGTCACATTTTCACCATTTGCCCTTTTTGATTAATGATGCTAAATTACATAGTTGTTGCTTGAAATATAATCTATTGTAACATGAACAACATGTCTTTGATTCTGTTGGTAACAAAAAGTATTTCAATTACCTGTCAGACTATGAACAGTATGTAAAAACAAAGCTTTGTCTCCATCAGCCTTTTAATTTTGTTCCTTAAAGCTGATAATGATTTAAATGAATCCAATAATGCCTTTATAGTGAACAAACAGCTCACCTGAAACAAAGAGGACCATCAGTAACATGCCGACTATCACCATGTTCACACACAGCTCAGGAGAGGTTTTTACAGTGAACATAATTTCTTAACCAGAATTACAGGGGAACACATCGCCTAACTGTTGTTAGAATAAGGAAGCACAGAAGAGGACATATTGTTTAAGAAAGTGCAATGTCAGTTTGCTTGATCGTATTTGCTATAGGTGTTGAGAAATATTCTGCGGAAGTACAATCAGTTTGCTAATATCCTGTGATAGAGGAAGTCAGGCGATAGATTTTTAAAGTTTAAAATTACCTGTCAAAATAACCCACACACGCAAATACTTTTCACTAACTTGAGTTATTCCAAGCTTGCAGACTTTTACAGATTTTATAACTCAGAGTATCATACAGCAGGCAAGTAGCTGCACAGGTCTTGTGGAGCTATGAAAACACAAGTAATTGAGGAAACTTATGATTTCCTTAAACCTGAAAGTTTTAATCAACTATAAGTGAGTTTAAACCATTTTGGTTGTGCTAGAGGAAATTTGATTTGAGGACCCTTAAAAATAATGATATTTATAGTAGTAATCACAGAGCATCTTAGTATTATTTACTAACATTGTCATCAAATGTTATATTTTCCTAAGTTGTCTACTGATGTCAGTACAGGATAGAACGTCCAGTGTTGTTGATATCATGATGTTACAGTGCTCTCACACAG